TAGCTTGAGACATTTACCTCATATCTAAAAATAGTCGAAAATCGGAGAATAACTTTTCAAGGCCCCTAGGTACCGAAATATGTGAACCCAGTACCTGTGGCTGACTTTTTACCGAAAGCATCAGCCAATCTGTGAGATATATTATTGAAATGCATGGGTAATATTTTTATAATAATAACAGGCCTTTGTCAAAAAAGGTAAAATCAAGGGTAATACTTCACTTCACTTCACTAACCTCATACCCGATATATGAATTCAAACTTCCTGTTGCTTGTTATACTGCATATATTCAGTTAAATATGTAAGATACCTTAATAAATTTTGAAAAATAAAATTTTGTTTGTTAATAAACTTAAAAAAATATAAAAACTGACAATACTTCCCCTAACCCCTCATATACTTGATATAGGCAATTTCAATCAACCGATTGAATTTCTAAATCTAACTTTCTGTTCGAATAAAATTAAGTGTATTTGCCACAACTGTATAACATTTGATACAATCTGGAGTTTTAAAATAAAATTAGAATCCTTCATAAACTAACTGCATTAAAAAAAGTTGATTCTTCATTAAAACTTTGCTGCTATTATGTTGTAAACATATTTCAACTATTTTTTTGTTATTTATTTTATTTATATTTGTTTCCATTATCTTTGAGTACCTATGGGTGTACGACATTGTCGAATACACTAACACTGTTTGACACACAGAAGTTACAACAAAGAATTTACCTCAAGGTCCCACATTTGCCATACACATCGACTTGCATGTGCGCCTGCAGCGCCTTCACTAAGCCGTCCCGTCTCGAGGGCACCTTACAGTTGGATACGAACCAAGCGGCCATTTTACGCTTTCGTTCAATTGACAATAACAAATCCGCATCGTTTTGAGTCCAACCCACTTCCACCGCTGCCCATATTGGATCTTGCGCGGGCGCAATAATTTGACGCGTTGAAATCGTTTTGACCACATTATAACTCCACACAATGTCCGAATCGAGGCGATAACTCAACGTGAGATTATAGAAATTTTTTTCATCCTGTAAATTATGCCTGGTGTGTTCAGGCGATTCTAATTGTGCGAACACATACGATTGATTGGGCGAACGTTGTTGTGGTGTGCCGTTAAAAAACGGAAATTTACGCGCCGTATGAAAAACGATTGCTGCATAATCGACGATGGAAGGTAAAAAGTCGTGCTGATTGGTGAAAATGCAACTTGTTTGTGGGCACTTCGCATGCAGGGTGTCCGCGGGTAAGGTCCAG